GGGCCCCCCCCCCCCCCCCCCCCCCCCCCCCTTCTGACCCTTCAGCTAAAATACGCCACCGAGCGCCCACCCCCATTCTTTGGCATTTACTCTTGACTCTCCCAGTCTCAGCCCCGTTGCCACCTTCGCAGGGCTTCCCTTCTGCGTCCCTTTTCGATCTTATGTGGTTCATTAACACTCCGCAGTTTCGCTTCTTTTACTAACAAACTCGTGCATAACACGAGTTTGTGAGGCAATATATTAATATAGATAGTAGGAAAGAAAATAGAAAAGAACATGCAGCATTCGAATTGATTTTTATATAAACTTCAACAAACTTCTCCAAGTGTCATTCGACTTTTTGACGATTCGAGTTTTGTCGGTTCCTTCTTTTAGTACAATCGAGATTCTGGTATATTCGAGGTTTCAGTTTTCTTCGTTTTGTCGTGCTTCGGGCCAAGGTGGACGGTCTTGACCAAGTGGACACGAACTATAGCGATGGTACCGGGACGTACTCAAGGAGGGGGTGGGAGGCGTTGTTTTAAGGGTTTGTCCCCTGACAAAGGCCCCCCCCCCCCCCCCCCCCCGCCCCCTGGTTCGTCAACCAACCCCCCCCCCCCTCCCGACCTCCGAGAGATGGTTGTGCCTAAATTGACACAGTTGACTGTATTCNCCCCCTGGTTCGTCAACCAACCCCCCCCCCCCCTCCCGACCTCCGAGAGATGGTTGTGCCTAAATTGACACAGTTGACTGTATTCCTGAAGTTGACGCGTACTATACCATTACTAAAATGTGTTCTCGATTAAAAAGTATGGTTGAAAGTAACTGAGAACTGCACCCAAGGCGCTGTCCGTGCCCAATGTTTGGTACGCAGACCAAGGCTGGGAGGTAGTCCCTCCGAAGTCAAAATTAGATCTTTTTGTACGCAGTACCAAAAGCCGCTTTTTGATGAAAGAAAAAAGGTTGGTGAGTCAGTGATGAGAATGACGAACGCTTCTCTGTACAACTGAGAAGGAATGTGAACTTCGATGTGAAGTCAAGTGTTGAAAACTGGTGCTGTACAGCAGTCTCAAGCAGTTATTTAGACTGCACAGAGATGGCGCTAGTGCATTCTCAACTCAGATTGACCGCAGCAGGATCAAATATCAACATTTTACAACATAAAACGAATTATAAGTGAGAAAACCAAGGGCTTTCGAACGATGCATGACAGGAATTTGGGTTAAAAATTAATTTGAAAGGTCATTTGCGTCAGGTCAAAGTTCAACTCTGAAAAAGAAAGTATAAAATGAGTTGGCACATCTACAAAATAAAAACTACGAATCGAAAGAGCTATCGATGATGAAAATCGGTTGAGAAACCTCGGAGGTGTTCACTAGGCAAATATAGGTCATACAGACATCTGTAGGTCATTACGTGCAGGGTTCTTATAAAGTTTCTTGGCGTGTTCAGACATCTGTAACTTGAATACTAGCTCATTGTAGAGCAGGGATATTTGGTGGACATGGGGAACACGTTTCCAAACGACGATCTGACAGTACGGTCTGCGATCACGAAAAGAACACATCAGCAGTGTTTTCAGTTCGTGCAACAAAATATTTAGCCTCGTCTCGATATTTATTTTAGCGGGTCAGAAACTTTCGTCTCTCCATGGTATCAAAGTTGTGTTCACCAAATATTATTGCTCTATAACGAATAGTACTCAAGTTATAAATATTGGAACAAGAAACTTGGAAAAAAAAAACCAGTATGTATATATTTTTTTAGAGTAGCCACCTACTGCCTAGACGCTTAAGGCTATAGTTCACTCCCTGTTTAAGAAAAAAAAAACGCACTACCTGCCCAGCAAAAGAATTGATGGATGAGGCCGGAGAATTTGCCGACAGAGGAGGTATGGGGATTTTTACAAGGTGCTAATTGGGATCTCATCAAATACGGCAAAGGAAGTGGAATGACAGGTCAGGATTGTCGGGGGGTCTAAGTTCGTTCAAATTCAGGTTTCCAGTCAGTGTTATAGAGATGAAATACGAACTTCCCTGGACGTCTCAAGTAAAAAGAAATCACAAGACTTGAACACATGACAACTCTGTCCTTCCACGAATCTCTCTTTCCCCCCAGCTATAAACCACTCAAGCATCCCAGGTAGGTTTATGAGAATATAGTGGTTCTTCCCCTCTTTTGACCTGTCATCTTGGAGCTGCTACTGCGTTTTATGAGAGGGAACAAACTATACGATCCTCCTTTTTCGTTTTGTCCATGAAGGCATCAAGCCTCTCCTTAAAGCTAGTCACGGGGCGGGGCAGCCATTACATCGTCATTTAACGCATTCCACGCGTTCACTACCCTACATATAAAGAAGTTCTGTCACAATCTGTGCCTCACTTGGAGTTAACGCAACTTAAGTTGGTTGCCTCTCGTTCTGCGACTAACATCGAACTGGAAAAATCTACCATGCTCTACGTTAGCTACTCCCTTAATGATCTTAAATGCCTGGATGAGATCCCCCTCGCTAACTTTCTCTGGAGTGAGTATTGGATTTTAAAAATACAATCCTATCGTTCTTCATACGGAATTTCCCTAACCTCCTTCCCTTACAAACATTTTTTACTTCAGTTTCACCGTGCCAATTTAACCGCTCACCCCTCATTTACCGCTCCTTTACCTGTGATTTACCTCAGTTTTACAGTTTCTCTCTTTTCCCCTGTCTTTCCTGCATTTTACAATTACTTTTCTCCCGTAAGTTACCTTTGGTTGTCTACAAAGTATCTCTTACCCTAGACTTATCACTTCTTCCAAGAATACCTGATGTAATTCTCACTTATAAAATAGGTGTAACATTAACACTGAGGCTATGATTAAGATATGTTAATCACAACACCCATGTGCAGGCACTCCCGCCGGGAGGAGGAAGGGGGGAGGGGAAGTACTTTGAGGGTGACCATGCGTAGTTGTAGGAGAACCCTGTACAGCTGTTCACTTGCCGTGAATAAATTTAGCATCCGAACTTTTCGATTGGACCATGTAAGTGGTCACAGACCCATTCTGACATCCTGTAGTATCATTCAAGGCCTTAACAAGGGGGCTGCGAGCGATGCATCCACACAGGGCACCGAACCGAGGGGTCGCCGATTGGCTGCCGAATTATTACAAAGTACCACGAAAAATGTAAGAAATCGTCGTAATTTCTTGAAACTTTGAATGTTCTTGCATTGTATTCAAATGGCTGATATACTGAAAGCGTTTGTAATAACAAGTTGCTTTTTTTAAAAACTGCATTGCATAACTTGAAGCTTTCTTAGTTTCCTATATTTATTAGTATTCTTACTCCGACACATATCAAATTCCCGAGGAAAAAAATATTATTTCATTTCATTTAAACTTTATATTTTATTGAAAAGTGTTGAAATACATATAATCTCACATTATTTAAAATGTTTTTATTAATGGTATTTAAATTAATCAATATTCTGACTTTAAATATATTGAGCATAGAAATAATTCATTTTTATGAAGTAAATATGAAATGTATTGTTGGCGCTGCGAAAACTTGGTGTGAGGGGGCGCTGGATTAATACGAGGCAAAAGGTGCCAAAAACCTTCGGTACGGCCCTGGTAACATCAAATGGTATATACTTCTGCAGGTTCTTAATACATTGCTCTCATGGGAATTTGCAGTAAGTTTCATCCTGTGAAAAAATGTCCTAATCCATTGATCATTTCTGCATTAGCTAGCCGGTGACTATGCTGAGAGCATTCACTCTCAGAAACTCCATACATGTTTTACATTGGATTAGGCATAGCAATAACATGCATAAAAGGCTTTAGTGCTCATGTCGAGAACCACGAATTACCAGGCCGCCCTTTCCATCATAATTTTCTCTTACTTCTGGTTCCCTTCGAAAACCTTGATAATGGGGAGAGGGGCTATTTGGTGTCAGTGCCGTAACAAGGGGTGTGCGAGCGGTGCCCTCGCACAGGGCGCCAATTAGCTACCGGATTAGTGCAAAAAATGAATAAAACTTTGAAAAATTGCAAAATATCCTGAATTTAACTAAACTAAACATAGAAACTAATACGTAATGTTGGTGCTGTGGAAGCTGGAGAGTTATAGAGGAGGGGGGGGGGGGGGGGGGGGGGGGTTGTTTTNGGGGGGGGGGGGGGGGGGGGGGGGGGGGGGGGGGGGGGGGGCGCTGGATTGATATCTCGCACAGGGAGCCAAGTATCCTCGGTACGGCGCTGTTTAGTGTCATAACTGTGGCAGTTATACCAGCAGAATTTTCATCTCCTGGGTGTGATGGGATTGAATTTCACTCAACCAAAACTCATGATATAAATGAGGATTTTAAAAATCCCTTAAGAAAATTAAAGGATCCAGGAGGAACTGAAAATCAGCACCTCAAACCTTATTGTGTGAACTGGCACATTTTTGTCCAAAGCCCCATAAATTTTGTGAATTCCCAGGGTAAAATTGGTTCTGAGTTAACCCAGCTGTGATAAGGGGGGTCATATTATAGGAAGTCAGGGCATGAAACAGTTCCTCAAGTGGTCCTCATGTTTCTCAGCCATAAGAATCGCACAGTTAGATGGAACATAATACCATAACTATATTTCAATAAAAATAAATTTCAATAGTGATACAATCCAAGTGTCATCCTTTCAAAGATGATATCCAGAAACCCAACTCACAAACATCATTCAAAAAGAGTGAGAAAGTGAAAGCAACAAGTTACTGAGGTTCCAGTTCTCTGATATCAGTTCTGAAGTGGTGAAGAGCTGTATAGGAGCCTCTGAGCCTGTTGTTTTCCCTGGACATCCAGGAAATGCTGCAAGAGGCTGTCAAATGGTATCTCCTTCATACTTGCTTCTGTTTTCTCCAACATGTCCAGTCTAGCCACATACATGATCATTACTTTCACAGTACATCAAGAAAAATTGTAGTGCAATTCATAAGTTACTTGACCATCCACACCACACCAAGCTTTACCTGCTAGGGCCATGTGGTCGAGGGATGCATTCCAATCTACGACGAAGAGCATGAAAAGCTTCTGTTTGAGGAAGAAGCATGAGAAGCCCATAGAGAGCACTCACAAGATGTCTTCCTGCATCTGTTTCCTCCAATAACTGCAGACGTAGATCTGGCAACATTCATGCATAAAGTCAACATAGCAAATTCCTTGAAAAGATGGAGAATATTCTCAGAACCTAACCCAATACAGCCTGCTGTCATATTTAAAGTACAGTAAATTTCAATGCCCTAAGTATTTTCTTTCCAAGAGGTGAGGAAAAAACTGAAGTGTACAACTTTCAAGTAGATAATGTTGCCATCTACATTCATGGCTTTCATGCTCAAGTGCTAACATGATTGCATGGAATTTAAATTAAAACCCAGTCTTACTTTTGGAAAATGGCACACAGCAAAAGGATGGTCAATTTTCATAATAATCTCTTCCGTAAGTCAAAAACTTGGTGGTGTTTTGTCTTCAGCCATCAATATAGAGTAGAATCCCATTAAAAAGAAGAGGCAGGGGGACTTTACTAATTATTTAGCTGTAATAAAGGAGTTATTAGGGATATAATATATCTGGAGATGAGTAAGATATTCTTTAATAATGAGCCTTTAGCCAGGGATACAATATCACTGCACTCCAAAAAGAATTTAATAGTATCTGAATATGTTGTGATGGATTTTTATTGTATTATGTGTCATAAGATGCATGCAGGATATTCATATAGAATAGATTATATAATGAAAAGCCAATAACATTCCTATATGACAATTTGGAGATACAGCATATATTTGCTTTCACTTGCCTCAGTTAGGGCAACTGGTCAACATCATGAATTTTCTGGAAGAATGTGAAACTGCTGAAAGCATATAAATTGAGCCTCCTGATATGCATGCAGGAATTGAGTAATATTCTGACCCTAAAGACAATATGGAGAAGTACATAAAATCCTTGTATGACAACTCCAGGTAACAATGACATTCTTATAGCCCAGGACTTCTTTTTATTCTTCTGGATTTTCCCTTTTCAGAGGTAAGAGAAACTAGAATTCCTTGATATTTCTTGGCAGGAATGTGCCACGAGTCACAATTTCTGACCATTTTTATATGAATGCAAACTGCCAATGAAGCAGCTTCAAAAATGCTCTGTAATGTCCTATACGATATGATGGCAAACAAGATACTGATGGTAAAAGACCCCTCATGTGTCCACTGTCACACATTGAGAATGGACTTGTGCCTGCAATTGGAGGACCAGATAAATATGGAGTCATATTTATTTTAACCTTTTCTTTTTAGGATTACAAACTGGGGCATATATGGGTTAAATATGAACTCACATGCAAATATAGGAGATTCCAGAAGTTGAATCAGTTTGTCAATCTCAACTAGGAATTCCACTGTGACATCCAAATCTGAGCTGAAGTATCAAGTTAAGGAATGAACACACCAGCCTCAAGGGAGTTTACACTAAAAGTATCTAAGAATTCTACTCATACTAGAAAAGGATACAAGCTTTGGACTAGAACTGATGCATGAACATAGTTCTGACTCAGGAGACACAAGGCCACAGTTGCTACTGGATTATGGCACCATGACTGATAGAGGCAGCAGAACAATGAACAGTCCTCCTGCAAACACACAAAGAAGTTTGTTGCAGTGTCAGCTCCATCTCTACTTGAGCCAGCATTAACAAACAATGGGATTGCTATTAATATTTACAACTTGAACTGGAAGTATCCCATTTGATATAAAACACAAGAGCCCAGTATAACTTAGACTCTATAGATCTATTGGACTCACATGATTGCATATGTACACACTTGACACTGTGAAATGTGACCTATTCGACAAAACTTGCTTTGGTTCGAAGGATCCTGAGTTGACTGCGTAGCTGAAAGAGTTCTGTTGAGGTGAGAAGAATGTCATTGAGAAGCTGAACCATCTTTGTGGCAAACTGAGCATTCTTTTCTTGCAGAAGGATCACAGACATGCATCTATAGACATTTTCAGCTTGCAACAAGATGCACAATCGCCTGCAATGGTCATGGTTCCATGTACAAGAAAGGCAAAATGCCCACAAAATCCAAACAAAACACACCACATTCAATGGAAATATTTACACAAACCTAATGATGAGAGAGCCCCTGTCAATGAGCAGGTGTCCATCCTTACGAAGAGATGCTAATAAGGCTGCCATGAAATAGAGGAAGTATGGGCTCAAAGATGACATCTGTCCCATCAAATCTCTCACTTCCTTGGATTCTATGACAAAGAAATGAATAAGAAATCATAGAGTTCATAATGCCTTCAGCATGTTCTTATTTCCTCTACGCTTCAGAATCTTACCATTGAGAAGTTTATGGGGGATATTCTCCTTCTTCTGGCCAATATCAGAAGAAGACACCTCAGCAAGAATATCTAGAGTCAGCAATGTGACCTCTTCAGTTGCATTGGACAAGACTTTCAGGAGTTCAGGGAATATTTCCTCCATATGACGAAATGTCTAAAGAGAGTGATTAACTCAAGGTGTACCAGCAATTTTTTAAAAGATGATCACAATGTAAACAACATTAGTACCTTTCTTGGGATGACAGAAAGAAGATGTTGGATCCAGTTGAGAACAGCTAACTGGGTGGGGCCTGATGATCCATTAAGAAACTTCATGAGAACTCCAACTAATGACCCCGTATCTAAGCCTGTGTTATCCTCTGCATCATCTTCCACTGTGACAAGCTTCATCATACTTGAATTCATGGCTTTGGCAGTTTCCTGAATGTCTAAATATGTGTGGAAAACCATCAAGTGAATGTGCAAAGAAGACCTGGGCAAAGTGAATGCTTTTGAAGGACATACTTCGATTAGATACACCTTGGTCATTGGAAAGACTTGGTAACACAGCAGTGAGGATGCCAGATGTGAAAGGGAGCATTGTTCTGGATGAGAGGCTGATGAACTCCTTGAGCCATATCAAAGCTGTGAGCTGTGAATACAAACTAGAACTGTGAAGGGCCAATGTAGGTTGACACAGGTGGCACCAGTCCATTTAGCAACTCAATCCATGGAATGACCAGATTCTCAATGTCAACAGGCAAATCAGAATACCATGACTACATGTCTATCCATACTCACCTGAAGTAATGGATCAGAATCCAAGGCATGAGTAACAAGAATGTTGGTCATTGCAGGGAAGTCTGCCTTGTGGGGATTTCTGATGATGTTGTGGAGGAATTCACCCAAAACTGTCTCACACCTGAAGTGGTAAAAGACTAATTCTAATCAGATGGAATGAATGCATCCAACTTGCATTCTATGCCATTATTATTACTTGATACAAAATTGGCAGCTAATTCTACAGAGTTGGATAGCCTCAAATATACACAATATAATAGAAAAAAATTCCAGACTCCTTGCACCACATCACACTGTAAATGCCCTATTGATGCTAGTATTAGCATGAAAACATTAACCTGAACTATCACTCCATCTGGGTGTTGGTATGGCAGATTAACCCTTTGACCACCAAACTTGAGTATACTTATTTTCAAACTGGCCATAAATATTTCTTTCCATCAATGCTCAGATATTACTCATATGGTAAACTTTAAATTAAACTTTTTAAACTACAATATTAAACATTTTTTGGAATAAAAGGAAATCTAAGTATGACCAAAAAGCCACACTTTTCTCAAAAGAGATTGAAGCAACAATACAAAAAACTGACGGTGCAGGTGCCATGGTCTTTAATACTTGGCAGTCAAAGGGTTAAAATACTAAAGCAGTATGAAGCAGCATGTTCCACATACAAATCCCCCAATCATTCAACTGCATTAACATACAGTATCTGGATAGACAAGCAGGCTAGTACTTTTCCTATATATGATAAGTCCAGAAATTCTTTTAAATATTATTTATAATATTCATAATATAATATTTTTAGTATTAAGTAGAATGAAGTTCAAAATTGTAACAGTTCAAGATTCTTTAAGAGACATAATGCCAAGTTACATACGTTTTCTTGATTTCTTGATTGGGATCAGAAAGCATTTGGAACAGTCCATCAAGAAATTCAGGGAGATAAAGCATCATATCAATATCAGGGACAGCATCAAGCACTCCAATCCATGCAACCACAAACTGTCGAGCATGGGGGTTCTTCGTGTAGACCCGCTCTCTCAGGAGAGGCACAAAAGATTCCAAGTCAAAGAGCGAAGTCTCCGTAACGATGTCCTAGACACACCAGGAGAGATATATTTATCCATATATCCCAGAATTGGAAAGAATCAGGCAAAGACAACTAGAAGCAGTTTCTATGACAGTACTTACCTTCACTAGTCGATCCATAAGCTCAGCCCCATTCCTAACATTCTGATCAGGATCAGCAGCCAGTTTGCTCAAAGCCTGAAAGATGTCATTGAAGAATGGCAATATATGCCCTCTAGACACCTTCACTATGTTGTACAATGCCTCACAAGCAAAATACCGAACACGAGCATCAGTGTCGGAAAAAGATGCAAGGATAGGCTTTGTAAGCTCCTCCAGGTACACAGAACTGTCCTAAAAGTAGAAAAACACCAATTATTTTCAAATGAATACAGGAGTCCAACTATAACATTTTTAAGGGGGTTTTCCAACCCTTGTCCTACATGTAGGTCTGGGCTTATAATTCCCTGACCAGCAACACCATACCAGACCAAACATACACATTTTGGGGGGAGGGGGGAGGGAGGGGTGGGGAAATTACAACATGCAACAGAATTTGGAGATTGGAAGGGATTTATTTTGCATTAGAAATTCCCTAGAGACATATTTCCACCTAATGGATATGGGTGAAAGGTATGGGCCAAGAGAAAAAGAGTCATCTTATGACCCAGAGGGAGAGGAGAGAGACCATAAATGAAAAACTGCCTCTTCCTCTTTTCTGCAACATTATCTTTCAAGTACACTGAGTAACCATAAGGAGTATGTCCAAAACATAGGGGTCTTGGTCTCAAAATGGAATTGGATAAAATGTGTATCATATAAAGTCCTGTCTAGAAGAGTCTCTACATGCAGACTAACTGTTCTGATCAGAAAGGTCTGGGCCAATATATGGTCAGACTGATTAAAACATGAAATTGTACTGGTAAAATTATTGAAACAGGGCACTTGCTGGAATGATTATGGAATTTTCACTTAAGAGATTAGGCTTTTCAAGGCAGTCACAAGTAGTAGTAGTTTTAAAAACTGTCTTTGTCACAGTCCTAAAAAATATCCTGTTTCTCATCATCATATCCATCACAACCTGCTTCTTTATAACCTCAATGAAGGTCTTATAGACCACAACGTTACTCCTACTTGTTAAAGTTTTGAGCTTTCCTGGGCAACACTTTCTATTACACAGGAATGTACTTTTACAGAATCCGTTTTGTAGCTTTTGCTTTTTTGGCAGTATACGTGATTCCTAGTTCCATGTTTCATGGTGAAACTGACCACTAGTAGAAAGAAGAAATCTCATACACACAGTTCACAATAACACATCATCTAACTAGTTTTACTATCAGTGCCAAAAGGGGAATATTCCCCCAACCCTGTTCCTACCTACCTATACTGAATCCAGGCTGGGATTGGGCTCAAAGGGAGATGCCATTTCTAACAGTTCTTTTTTGGGACCCTGAGATCCTCTCAATGTGAATTAGATGGAGCTAAAAACACTGATCGTTGGAACAGGAGACACCAGGACCAAAAGCAAAAAAAGACAATGCAATTGGGCAGGGATAAGAGAGTGGGAACTTCCTTTTAACATATGCTCCTCTCTATCATTCAGCACAATAGTGATGGCCAATTTTCATAACCTGGAAATTATGACACCCTCATGGCATCTATAGAAACATAAAACTCTGAATTTTGTTACTTCAAGAAAATTGTATCCAAGGAAATGAATGGGCATCTCAGCTGCAACAGTGACAAATGGGGGATAGTTAGAAAACAAATTTCTTCTGGGCCAGCAGGCATTCTGAGAAAATAAAAACATTAATGTATTGAGAGATTTGCAATGGAAGAATACCAAATGGCACAATGAAGGTGTTCCAGGGCAGTCTGTCACTTTGAAATTTTAGTTCTAAAAAATACTGGTCATGTGGATATACACCAGACAAAGGACATATCTCCATAACACCACACAAAGAAAAAAGGTATATCTCCCTGCTCAGGCAGAAGCACAACAACCAATAGTTAAATCCGTCAATTCGGAGTAATTCAATTTGTGTAGGAGGTGGCTTTTGGATCAACTCAGAGGTTGCCTAGGCATATGACTGGTACAAGCGATTTTTAGGTGCTCTCTGCTCATATCTGCTATATCATATATGTGCAGTGATCAAAAAGTTCTAAGCCTGAGGAACTTCCAGCAGCAATACATCTATTTTACTACTCTTGTGAGAAGACAGACGTCTTTGATGGTGACTGGCAAAATTTAATCCAATGTGTCAATTAAAGATAGCTTCTTCAACAGCTAAGAGGATAGAGTCCTATTGATACTTCTATGAAATATCTGCTGGGAGAGCAACTCCTTAAAGAGAAAATTCCTCACAGCATTCCTTTCAATTTTAATAGCCCTTCAACAGACCAAAGAACCATCCACCAACTGTACTGGATACTTTTCCTCCTGGGTTTGACAGAGGAACTCAAACCACTAAGCCACTGAACTCAATAAACTTTAAATTCTCCAATTGTGTTACTGATGCAATAAAGATACATTATTTTAACCAAAGCATGATTGTGATCTGCAGAGAGACAAAAGAGACATCACAACCTTTGAGATGAAGACCTTTGACACCATTTCAAAGATGGCTAGGGATATTTATTGATGATCAAGTTGATGGAGGATGGAATTTAGTATTATAAAAAAAAAATTAATTTTCATCACAACCCAAAAATGACAGCTGCATTTGATGCAGTTGCACTTTTACATTTTTTTTTAAGGAAACAAAAAATTTTGGAATAATAAAGAGGGTTATGCTACATGAAATGATGGAAAAATTAAGTTAAAATGAATATCCAAACAAAATACTTTCAGCCTGTTATATCACAATAATTCTGGAACTGCCCAAATATTGCTTTACCAGGTACTTTCATCAGCAGTTCATAATTGATCATAACATCAAGGTAAAGGTCACTCAATTCAATTCTCATTAGAAGTTACAAAATACATTACTTCCAATGAGCTTTTCTAATGCATGAAAGACCAAGATTGCAGCCCACCCATCAAAACTAACGTTCTCTAGTAGGCCTACTATATGCACCTTAACTAAGTTTCATCTTGGCCTTTGCCTCCAACCATACAGGAAAAAGCCTAGGCATAACATAAGATTAATGCCACCTGTGATTCCTTCCCCAATTTCAGGCCACTTTAAGGCAAGGTGTATTCCCAGATAAAATGAAACATCCTTAGCCTACACAGCAACAGGGGCCGCCATATCACCTTTCCAAGGGCTATTGCAGTCGCAGCTAATCCAATGAGTCCACCTTTCCGACAATTTGGGTTCTGCGACATGGCAAACTCTTGCCCCAAGACATCCAGCAGCTTCTTTATTTGCGTTGTGTTACTGACAGCAGCGAAATCCTTCACCATCCTGCTCAGAACAAGAAAAATAAGAAAAAAATGCCATGAAGTAAGCTCGTGATCCAGGAGAAAGGGTGTAACAGAGACTTGAGGACGGGACTTACTTCTCTATTTCCAATGCCGCTGCTTTCCTCTTATCGTAGATTTTGTCTCCCAGAGCTCGGACACAGGCAGTGCTCAGGGGGGCATAATCCTTTTCTGCCATCCCTTTAATGTCAGTACTTCGTGAATAAATTAGAATAAGCCTTTAGAGAAAAAAGTATACGGCTTAAATGAGCAGCTAGTTCAGAACAAGCAAGACAGGATGAAGGAGAGATCCACGTGGGTATGCATCGGCTTTATGTAACAGGGAGCAGCCATAATGCTTACCTGTGCGCACATTCGACGAAGTTCTGGGTTCGGCTCAGGTCCTCATAAGCTGTCACTCGTATCCTTTCTCAACGGGTTTCTAAATCTTAACTTGGAATAACTGACTCTGATGGATCACCCTAATGTAGTGGAGATAAGAGATGGAATTTTTGGCAGTAAAGTGTGGTGGTCTTATGCTTTCATTGGCTTTACTTGCCAAAACCTTGTCACCATCACCTAAGATTTGACCGACCCTTTTCCCTACCCCTATCCTCATTCACCTCCCTTCCCCCATCTCGGTAGTAGTACAAGAATACTTGAACGTTGCCTTACGTAACACAGCTTCCGTACCTGTCTTCGAGTCGAGCTACTTTTAGCCGCGTAGGGGTAGTTCTATAGTTTTTGCTCCTGATACTCTGAGCAAACATTAGGAAAAAGTCAAATAAAAGGAAGGGAATCTCCATATGTAAGCTTGCTGGTATGTACTCATCGTGGCATGTTAATCCAGTAGCAGACCGTCCGGAAAACAGAGCATTATACATTTTTTTGCGCCGCGAAACGCTTGCATTGGGCAGAAGCTTACGATGGCAAATAGCAGAAGCGGTAGGCGCGACATGCCGGAGGTGTATGTGCACGGAGCGGGGCCTGCAGTCGGAGATTCCGTGATCCGGTGGCCGCATGAACGTGATTGTATAACACCGGCTCACCTGACAAATACCCTTTTGCACGCGATCCTTCTGCCTATTTTTCCGCTGCGTTTAGGACACCCCTCCGAGTTTCTTTCCCGTTTCCGGTTCCTACAGGAAAAAATCCGGCTGCGGGAAAGAAAAATCTAGAACGATGGCTCTCCTCTGAAGCGTCCGTGCAATTTCATCCTTTTGTGCCGCGAGCCATTATCGAGATCACAAGACAAACGGAAGCACTATTCCGCAGTCTTTCCCATCGACGACGCCGGCGATCTTCGGAAAGAAAATGGAGAAAGAGAAAAGAAAAAGGATCCTCCCACACACCAATGTTCCGTTCAAACGAGGGCGATTAAAGCGAAAAGCGATGCCCAGCATATGCCCGATACGAGGATCCCTTCGCATGCGGCATCACGGTTTTCCTTTTGCTATCATTAGGACCACTTTCCGCCTTTATGATGTCACTCGTTCGTGACGAAAGCCCATGGATAAACATGTATTGCGGTTGCGTCGACGACGAATCATCTCTGTCTCATCGGTGCTTTGCGTCATGGAGCTGTTTTGTTCTGGTAGGAACGAGAGGGATATCAGAATATCATAGCAGACATAGAGGGATATATTTTCCTCTCTCAATTTCATTTTTTTCTCATGCAGAGCGGCACATACAAGGTTATGCGAGGCCTGGAGAATGTCTCAATTTCGGGGAGCAGATTCCCTTCTTGAGCGAAGTCTCATTTTGCCCTTGATTAATGAAGTCACTCCGTTAAGGAGGACAATTTGATTATGAAGAATAAATGGCGTGTACCATTCTCCCTGATGACAAAGAGAGGAAATGAGGCGTAATTCTTGCGCGATCACGATAATTACCCGCCTTCAGTAATCCGAATTGGGGGGAGTAGAATTGAAGCCGTGAAGAATTTCGAGGAAAAGAAAAAGGGGATGGAAGGCGAGGACGAGGACGACGGAGCGTCACATAATAACATGGGCCTCCCGGTCCCTCGTTTCAAAATCGATAGATAGCCAAGTGGACGAATAGAACGGCGTGGCATTTATGAACACAGGCAAAGAGAGAGAAGAGAGAGGAGAGAGAGGGAGAGAGAGAGAGAGAGAGACCCGGTCGGGCTTATTGCAATCGATGGAATTTTAAGGAACCGCCTCGCCTTGCTCCTCCCCCTTTTTCCTTTTCTTTCTTTCTCTCTCTCTCTCTCTCTGCCCTTCATGCAAGTTATCAATGCTTCCAAGAATCATTTGGATTCTGTGCGTCGCAACAGGTGATGCACCTGCGAGATAAATCGGAGTAGGCCATTGGGGGCGATTGCTGTCGATAGCCTGTCCATGAAACGCGGTTTGCAGCGGCCTCGAGAGATTCTGCCACGTCCACGACCGTTCTGAATCCCCCCCCTTTCATCGTCCCTCTCGGATTATTTCTTCAATCTGCGTATCGGGCGAAGACGATGCGAAAGGAGATGATACAAAAAAAATATTCTATGAACATATCATAGACTCGCAATATTAGAGCTCCTTTTTTAAAAATCTGTTTCACTCGGAACACGGGATTCCAAACTAATTCTGGATTTGAACGGGATTTAAAGACAGGCAGGAAGAGATAGAATCGAATAGAATCGGGTTAAATCTCTGTTCTTAAGTGACCTAATAAGAAATTGAGTTAGAAGCAGNCCCCCCTCCCCCCCCCCCCCCCCCCCCCCCCCCCCCCCCCCCTCTCTCTCTCTCTCTCTCTCTCATCCTTGTCCTTGTTATCATGCAGCCGATTCCGAACTCCGTCCTCGTGATTGACAGCGACCGAGAGCTCATGCCAGGAACGGTCAGAGGTGGCTTTCCCCCTCCCCCTCGAGAGTTCCTCTTACGGTGATTAGTGACGGGCGTCGCGAGGGACCCGGAAAATCAAAACGAGGGCGGAGTCGCAAGGAAAACTCGCGAGAGAGGGCAAAAGAATGTCATCGGACTTTTTTTTTTTTTTTTTAGTTCCTTGAGGCCATGAAACTTTACGATATTAATCTAAAGTCTGGGAAATGCTTGAAATTACCTCTAACTACCTCATCATCTAATTAAGTTCCCTTGGCTAATTGTGTATTTTGTGGAAACTGTGTTAATCAATGTTAATTAATATGAATCAAAGGCACTGCAGAACAATAAAACACCTGTATTTATCATCCTCCATAAACACAGTGATTTTTCAGGACTTCGGACCCTGCAACGGACGATCGGCTTGGAAATTCCACATTTGAAACACTCGGGAGTCGGACGACGGATTTTGCATCTTCGCATGATGGCTCCAACATTTAAAGGCATTTCGATATTATAGGCGGAAAAGGAAAAGTTCGCAAAGATCCTTGACCTTATCAAGTCAATCAATAACGTCGGCAGCTCCGGAGATTAAAAAGTAATTTCTTCTTGCCGGAAAGTTCACAGCCTGGAGGAAAAAAAAAAAAAAAAAAAAGACTCATGTCGTTCCGAGTTTCCCTTCGCATTCGTTTTCAATGTCGCATGCCCTTCGGAGAGCCAGCTGGATATGCGGACTCGTTATTCGCGATGCCATCACCAGTCACCGGTTTTTCGTGGAAGCGACCCAAGGTATAAAAAAAAAGGGTTTTGAAAGTTAGGCAACAGCTTTGAATAGAATATATTCCAGGCCAGGACCCAGCAGATATATGCACGACGAACGAAGGAAACCCCGAGAATAGGGACGAAGAGGAGGGAGCGAATCTCATTCGGAGCAGAAAAACTTCAATTCCCCGAGATAATTATGGAAGTTGGAAGTATGGAAAGTTTCCGGAATGCGTAACACCCTAAGAAGGGGCCCATGGGGACAGAGTCCAGATTATTCCGAGGAAAAACGCCGTTGATGAATGGATAAAAAGATCTTCCTCCCCTGAGAATTTTCACGTAATTTCACTGCCCTCTCTCTCTCTCGCACTCTTTTTTTTTCTCTCTCTCTCCTTCAATTTCTCTTCCCCCTCCCCCTTGTTCATTCAAACATAAGCTCTCCGGTATTCTTTAGACATTTGATATTCCGCTTCACCCACGGATAATGAGTGGAAGCGGAAGATCCCGAGTCAACCCTTTCCTACGCCGGTAATGAGAAGGCAGCGGCGGTAATTGAGGCTGGAAATGCAAGCGTCCTTCCCGCACGATGACGTCACGCGAGGGAAGGTGGAGGGGGGGAGGAGGGGGGAGGGGAGGGGAGGGGGGAGAGAGAGGGGGAGAAAAGGAAAATGACCGACTTCCCACCGAGTGGATCGTTTCGCGGATATTAATTTCCGACCGATTCCTCGTCCTCTCGCTTCCTTCGTCGTCGAGTCCTCTCTCTCTCTCTCTCATTTCGCAGATACCATTTTTCACAATCGTGGCCATCAGGTGTGAATAAACAATAGCGACCCATTCCTCGTTCCATTTCCGCTTCCCATTTAAAAGGGGGGAGAATTAACAGGAGAGACTGGCCCTGTAATTAAGGGCGGTATGGTGCAAATAATCCGTTCAGACCCGGGCTCGGAGTTATTAGCTGCTATGACAAATTAGAGCGTCCTGGTCGCATAATTATAGAGGAAGCGTATTACACACGAAGGTTTCGGGAAAAATAGGTCCCTTGCATGCCAGTGGCATTAGATCCCGGCCCAATAATGACTTTTCTTTTTCTCCCCCCTTCGCCGTGAAAACGGGGTCGCTCTGCACCTGCATCTGCGACTTGACCCCCCCGATATCGAAAGATGGAAAGGCCATCAACGGGGAAGACAGATGACGAGGAGATGAAATGACTCTTATATTGTTCTCGAGGAAACAGAGAATCTCATGCATACGAGATCCGATGCGACCCAGAAGAGAGAAAGAAAAAAAAAAATCGGGGGGGGGGGGG